TCTCACTCTCGCACATTTTGGAGTTGCCAGTGTCTATCATTTCACTGTATATGTCTGATACGGTTTGGCTGTGTCCCCACACCATCTCATCTTGAATTTTAATCCCCATAATTCCCATGTGTCATGGGAAGGACCTAGTGGGAAGTGATTGGATCATGGGGATAGTTTCCCTCATGCTGGTCTCTGTTTCGGAGTGAGTTCTTAAGAGATCTGATGGTTTTATAAGTGTCTGGCATTTCCCCTGCTCCTACTCACCCTCCTGCCTCCTTGTGAAGTAGATGCCTGCTGTGGCTTTGCTTTCTGCCATGACTGTGTTTCCTGAAGCCTCCCTAGCCATGCAGAACTGTGAGTCAATTAAACCTCTTTAAAAATTACCCAGTCTCGAGTATTTCTTTATAGCACCATGAGAACAGTCTAATACAATGTCCATGAGTACCCACTGGTTAGCTCTCACTTATAAGTGAGAACATGCAGTTTTTGACTTCCTGTTTTTGTGTCATTTCACTTGGGACAATGACCTCCAGTTCCATGAATGTTGGTCATTTTCCTTTTATTTATTTATTCATTTATTTATTTCATGAATAAGTTATTTAGTGGTGATTTCTGAGATTTTGGTGCACCCATCACCAAAGCAGTGTACGCTGTACCCAGTGTGTAGACTTTCATCTCTCACCCCCTCCCACCCTTTCCCCCAAATCCCCAAAGTTCATTGTATCATTCTTATGCCTTTGAGTCCTCATAGCTTAGCTCCCACTTATGAGTGAGAACATTTGATATTTGGTTTTCCATTCCTGAGTTACTTCACTTAGGATAATGGTCTCCAATTCCACCCAGGTTGCTATGCATCCCATTATTTCATTCCTTTTCATAGCTGAGTAGTATTTCATGGTATATATATACCACAATACTCTGGATTTTCTTATTAGAAGCATCCCTCCCTCTTCACAATTTAGTCATGAAAAAGGGCAATCTATATTAGCTCACAGCTAGATAACCAAAACAAATCTGAATGAGTAGACTCTATTTTAGACACTCTTTTATGTCAACTAATTTCTTTAACTTGAGAGAAACTAATATCCATATGGTTAAGATATTAAGAGTTATGAAATAATGAAAAATGAATGGTGAATCAATTTTCCAACTCAGTCCTTTCCCTTTAAAAAAAGCTAGGTGTTTTCTGTGTATCTTTCCAGAAATTATGCCAATAAGTGTTTGAGTAATACTTTAGTACTAAGTAATTTTTAATCGAATGTTTACTGTATGCCAAGCATCTTTTCAGGCACAGAGGATAAGGAGTAAATGAAAACTATGTCACTCTAGTGGGAGGAGACAGACATATACATAAATTAATACATATACACATATTATTTTAAAAGTTACAAGCCATCTTGTAACTTCAAGAAGAAAATTTAAGAAATAGAAGTAACACACAATGGAGTTGCTATTTTATACAGAGAGGGCTATGAGAGGGTGACATTTGAGCAGACACTGGAATGAAGCGAAGGAAGGAAACATGGATATCTGGAGGGAAAGCCTTCCATCCAGACAGAGCAGCCAGTGCAAAAGTCTTAAGAGGGGGCTTGTCTGGGATTCCGGAAATTGCCAATGGCTGGTGTGGCTGGAGTCAGGAGAGCAAAGGGGGAGGGAGAGTGGTAAGAGGCAAGACCCAAGGGTACAAGGGGCAAGACCATGTGAAGCTTGGGAGACACTTGAAAGATGTTATGTTTTGTACTGAGAGAAATCAGGGGATGGGAGTGAAGGTGTGGCACTCGGGGTCTTGAGAAAGGAATTACATACTCTGACACATTTTCACAGAATTACTCAAATTGCTGTGTTGAGAACAAACTGGCAGTCGGGGTGGACAAAGGGTAGAAACACTGAGATGATTTCAATGCGACATGATGGTATTTTGGACCAGGCAGTTGGAGCATAAATTGTGATCAACTGTCATATTCTGAAATATTCTCAAGGTGGCCCTGATAGAATTTTCAGGTGAGAAGCTGAGCAGCATGGCTCCAGAGTTTGCACCTGAATAATCGTAAGGATGGACTTGCCATCAATTAAGAAGCAGAAAGCTGCTGATTGAGCAGATTTTGAGAGGAAGAGCATGAATTTGGTATTAGACATTTTAAGTTTGCCATATCTATTAGACACTCAATATGGGAGAAATAAAGGCACACGTTTGCTAGTAAGATTGGTTTACTAGAACAGGAGAAAATGACAATGCGGGACAGAGACTGAGAAGGGGAGGACTGGATCCCATGCACACATGGAGAATTTTCAGTGTGGAAAACACACAGGTGTTCATCAAGTTACAGTCTGGAAGGCTAGTATGCAAGAACAGATGCACATAGTTCGTAGCCAGTTTGACAGGAGCTAGGACAAAGTCTCTTCTGGAAGCTTCTATTTTCATAGTAAAGAACGTCTTGTTTGAAGGAATGAATCCCTTTTTACTTCTAATCTTAAAATTCTCTATAGGCTTCCCCTCACCCTTGAGAAAAAGATCCAAACATTTTATCACAGCCCTAAAGACCCCATGGGCCTGGACCTGGACCTGCCTACCTCTCTCCATTTTCATAAATGCTTCAGTCACAGGGCCTTCCTCTTTGTGTATCAGATAGATGACGAACTCAATCAAGCCTTGGATTCTTTGACTTACCTGTTCCTCTGTCTGCTGCGCGCCTTTCTTTTGATCCCAAGTCTGGCTCATTCTTATCATAAAGGTCTCACTTCAAAAGTCACGTCCTCTGGTCTTTCTTGAACGTCCAAAGCAAACCTTCCTCCCAACATGTTATTTTACTATATATTTATTATGTATTGTGTACTGCTTCCCACAAGAATATGTTTCATAAGAAACTAGCACTCCTATCCCACCTTGTCACTCTCTGACTGCTATCCCACCTTATCACTCACTCTGTGATGTCTATCACATCATCACATTATGGGTGTGTGTGTGTGTGTGTGTGTGTGTGTGTGTGTGTGTGTGTTTGGAGAGAGAGAGAGATTGAGATTTTCCTGTATTACCCATCTCTCCTAAGAGAATAACAACAGGTGCTTTGTCTATTCTGTTGACTGTTGTGCTTCCTGAGCCTGGAACCATATCTGGCACATAATAGTTGAGCAGGGTGGCTCACACCTGTAATGCCAGCACTTTGGGAGGCTGAGGCAGGAGGATCACTTGAGCCTAGGAGGGAGTTCAAGACCTGCCTGGGCAACATGGTGAGATACAACTCCCTACCCCAATTTCCCCCACTGGATCTCTACAAAAAAAATTTAAAAATTATCTGAGCTGATGATGTGCCTTAGTCCAAGCTATTCAGGAGGCTAAGGCAGGAACCCCTCCTGGGCTGAGCCCAGGAGTTGAGCCTGCAGTGAGCTGTGTTCAGGCCACTGCACTCTAGCCTAGGTGACAGAGCAAGACCCCATCTCTATTTAAAAATGAAAAAATATAGAGAGAGAGACACAAAGGGAAAGTAAGAATTATTTTGCAGGGGTAAAAAAATACCGTATTGGCCGGGCGCGGTGGCTCAAGCCTGTAATCCCAGCACTTTGGGAGGCCGAGGCGGGTGGATCACGAGGTCAAGAGATCGAGACCATCCTGGTCAACATGGTGAAACCCCGTCTCTACTAAAAATACAAAAAATTAGCTGGGCATGGTGGTGCGTGCCTGTAATCCCAGCTACTCAGGAGGCTGAGGCAGGAGAATTGCCTGAACCCAGGAGGCGGAGGTTGCGGTGAGCCGAGATCGCGCCATTGCACTCCAGCCTGGGTAACATGAGTGAAACTCCGTCTCAAAAAA